AGGCCAAACAAAGTAGTTTCGCTTTCACAATGAAACACACGGCGGGCTAGAGTGAGGAACGGCCGGCGGGCTTGCGGCAACCATATGTGACGACCCCAAGAAGACTTTAGTGTTTGCAACTTTACAGATCTTCTTTGTGCACCAAAAGCTTGTAACACTCCAAAGAGAAAGGAAAAATTGAAATCGCATCATATGACCCCTTTAAGACTTGGGGGCACTTTACCCCACCGTGGAGCAAAATGCCCCCTTGGTACAAATTTAATTGTTATTAAAAATCTAATTACATGAAAACTCTGGATATTTTTCATACTTGATTTATAATTTATGTCATTGTCACTAAAACTATGATAACTTTTCTGAACACGTTTAACTTTTGTTTCACAGAAAAAAATTACACAGTCCTTAAAGGGGCGTTTCCCCCCACTCTACCCTAATCAATTTATATATATATAAAAAAAGCAAACTTCCAAACCTGGTCATTCCAGAGGGAGATTTGTGTCATTTGTGAAGTGTGCTCAGGTGCGAAGCACCAAATGTTGGGCCCCTGTCACATAACCCCTGAGTGTGCTGATGACATTACTGTAAATAACAGAAGTCGAAAGTGCAAAAAAAAGTCCCAGCGATTACAGTTCACTCTGCTTTCTCTTTATGAGTGCAGAGAGGAGGAGGTTCTATAGTCACTCCTCCATGGGCTGGATTTGGATGCTGATGTGCTGCCGATCAAACAGTCGAACAATAGAACTTTCTCTTCACACTTTATATCAACAACAAATCCCTTCATTTACTGAGGCCGAGCGGGTTAACATGCTTCATCCGTGAGCATCCGACTCTCATTTTCCCTTCATTTCTATTTATTTGTCAGATTAAATCAACAGGTGACTTTTCGTGATGCCCAGCCAGACTCTGCGCCCGCGTCTCTGCGTCCTGGAGAAGGGCGAGAACGGATACGGCTTCCATCTGCACGGCGAGAAGGGCAAGAGCGGCCAGTTCATCCGCCTGGTGGAGCCCGACTCCCCCGCCGAGCTGTCCGGTCTGCGCGCGGGCGACAGGCTGGTGTTCGTGAACGGAGAGCGCGTGGAGAGCGACAGTCATCAGCAGGTCGTGGCGAGGATACGCGCCAGCGCCGGGAGCCTGCAGCTCGTAGTGGTGGACGCCGACACCGACCAGCTGCTGAAGAAACACGAGCTGAAGTGCTTGAAGGAGTTTGTCACGGAGGGCATTCCGATGCCCGAGTGCGGTGATGATGAGCTCGAGATCAGCGACGAGATGATGCGGGACGACACGCCGCCGCCGGTGCCGGAGAGGAACGGAGAAATCTTCCCCGTTCACATTCCCGCGGTGGAGAAACTCAGGACATCCGTGAGCTCGGAGACGGTGAGAGACCGGCAGAGCTTCGACTGACGCTCTGATTCCAATGTACCGTTTTAGAAGTAAAATATAACTAGTAATCATTCAGTAACCACTGCTTGTTTAAGTAGGGTGTAGTGTTTTTTATAAGTAGCCTACTATATTACCATACCTGCCGTAACACTTACAGTATAAGTTCCATATTGTAAGTTTTTATGAAATAACAAGTTATCTTGCGAAGTTACTTATAGTTAGTAGAATGTCTAAAGTGGACTATCAAAATAAAGTGTAACCGAAAAAAAGTACTATGGTAGCCTACTTCTATAGTTCTTAGTTCCTCGGTATTATTCTGTGTAGTTTAATGCATCATGCAAACACATAATTTATGATTATGATAATCATTTACCATGGTATTATTATGTACATAAAGGATGTAAACCCTTGTGAAGTGTGCTTAATTGTATACTTTTAACACTTATACCCCCGGTTTCTATATATATATATATATATATTTTTTTTTTTTTTTAAATTATTGTAGATAATATAATATTAATTAGCTAAATAAAAGGCCACTTAAGTGCACTTAAAAAGACACTTTCATGACTGTTTCTTAATTCAGTTAAGTACACTTTTGAAAGTGCACTTAAATCAAAAGTTTCACTCAAAGTACATTATTAAATCATGTTTTTATATTATTTTGTTGAAATACACTCATTTTGATGTGTTGCCTTACATAGTAAAGTACATGTAAAATACTTGATTATAATTTTAATTGTAGTTGTATTCAGTATTACTTTTAAAGTAAATGTAGCTTAAATGTACTAAATGATGTCATCATTACAAAGGCGTAATAACATATATAAGCATAAGACAATTATTAATATAAATTACATTAAAGTATATTATACTATAATGAAATTACATATAAAGATGCTGTGCTTAAATGGGTGAAACTTAAGAAGAACTCTAAAGTTCAGCTAATTGCGTTTAATATAAACATTTTCATTTAGTTGCAAATAACATGCGGTTAAGAGTCTGAAAACATTATATTCAGCTCACACATAAGTATATTCTTTTTTTAAAGTATGCTAAAAGTGTACCTCTTTTTCACAAGGGAAGTTATGTAATAATAATCAAACACTGAAAAAAGTACTTGTTAAGCAGTAATCGAAACATCTGCCCTCTATAAAGTATATCAACATACTAGCACTGAAATAACTAGTTGTTCATATAACCCATTAACAAAGTATGATATGGTCTTTTTTTTTACATCATCCATGATACTTCCATGGTAATCCCTGAAGTACCTTGGAGCATCATGCAAATACATGGTGTATGAATATGGTACTTGTTTATCACTTTACCATGGTACTGCCACTGTACTTTTTTTGTAAAGGGTGAACTTAACCCTATATCTAATCCTAAACCTAACCTTTGTCTCTATTAGTCATGCTTTATTCACAGAAATGCCTCATTACATCCGCTAATTAAGTTTAATTGGTTTGATTTTTTTTTGGTCCATATGCGCAGTTGAAAAACTGCTTTGTATTCCTCAAGCAATTATAACAGTGCTATGACAACTGTGAAACACACACCTACACACTGTAGTGCACTTGGCAGATCACACATACCTAGTGCTTCAGTCACTGACTGTGGGTGGCTGGCGTGTTGAGGAGGACGTCCAGCACAGGAAGACAGTTAGTTCTCACAGAAGACAAACAACTCTATTAAGCCTTGTTCCAGAGTAAACCCAATTTCACACCACAAGTTCCAGGATGTGTTAGGAACATTGTTACCTGGAACACGGTCACTTAAAGCGGCTCACCTGAGGAACAGATCATCTGTGTGTTTCAGAGCTGAAGGATGATATTTTGCTCAGATGAAGTGCAGCTGTCTGAGAAAGCTCTTGTTGCGTTTTTCTCACGCATGACTCTATTATTTGTTCAGACACAAAAGACAGCACTGTCTTTTGTGTATGTGTGTGTGTGTTCTGCTCTTATGATAATGATTTGCACATTACTCAAGGAGGAAAAAGGCCAGACTCCACAACAGCTGGGCTCCCCATGGTGACAGTCCTGTTTACCGCCTAAACCCCCTTTTCATTCTCATGTCATCTGCATAACCAAATTACCCACAATGCCCTTCTGGCATTGTGCTCTCAGTGTGTGGATGTGTTCTGCACCTGTAGTGATTACCTGTGTGGCAAATACACTAGTCTAAACAGTCTGTGAGGGCAGGTATGTATGAGGGCCGCCAGGAGAGAATGTCTTCTCTGACGGTCACATTGACAATTTTGGGGTCGGTCTGAAAGAAAAGTAGGGTTGTGATACATCAGAGTGAATATGTTAAACTATACAGTACTTTAAATAATATAAGCCTCCACTATAGTTACAGTATGTTGACAAACTGTACTTTTTGTACTATATTTTTCTATAGCTGATGATAAAAATATTCCATATATTTTCTTAAAAAACATGATTGTTACTCCTCGACTGTCAAGTGCCTCTCAGAACACCTTAGTAAACGCTTATCAACCGCTGCCTCTCTACACTCTCAGAGAAAAAAGGTACAAAAGCTGTCACTGGGGTTGTAGTTTTGAATAAGGTACAGCATTGTACCATATTGACCCCTAAAGAGTGAATATTAGTACCTTAAAAGTACATATTATTACCTAAAGTGTGCATGTTAGTACACTTTTTGGTACCCAGAAAAAAACTACTTATTACAAAAATAATATACTTTAAAAGAATATACTTAAGTATGAACTAATTGTAATGATTTGGGCACTTAATTGTATTTTAATTGCAAAAAAAATGTATTACAATTTATATTTATAGTAAATGCAATTACTTCAACCCAAGTGCTTTTTTTGACCCACTTAAGTGGGACTTAAGTACATCTTTATGGCCTGGTTTCACAGACAGGACTTAGGTTAAAATTAGGCAATAGTTCAATTAGGACATTTAAGTAGTTTTTATAAACATGCCTTAGAAAAATACAATACTGGTGTGCATCTTGAGACAAGCACTGACATATTTTAAGATCAGTTAGTGCAAGTTTCTTTCAGTTGAAACAGCTCAGATTTACATTTTAGTCTGGGATTAGGCCTAAGCCTTATTTGTGAAACTAGGGGTATATGTAATTTCATAATAACATATTATGAAATGTTTGAAATATGTATTAATAATGATTTAAAATGTACTTTAAAGTAAAACTTTTCATTTTACATTATTAAAAAAGTGCAATTTCAGTGTTTAATTATTCTTAATTGTGTTGACATAGTCATGAAAGTTTACTCTCTTTAATAACACTTAAGTGGCCTATTATTTCAGTGATATTATCGGCAAGTTTTACTTTTTAAGATTTGATGTGCACAATCAATATAATAAAGCACATTTCTTTTTCTTCAGACTAGCCTTCAAACTGATTTAGCTTTGAAAAGTTTTGCCAAGCCAACATTTAGTTTTACTATGAAGTATTTCTGAGTACTTCTGAAACAAATGTAAATTTACTGATTTTCTCCTTAGTTAAAACAATACAGTCACGTCAGTGGCCTAGCAGTTAGTTCATGTCCTGCTACGGCTCCCTCTGCTTCTCCCAATCATTTTCTGTCATCTCTTTACAACTATAAAGTGGCAAAAGTGCAAAAAGACATACTACACATGGGACTTCGCATAGAAGTTTATTCTGGGTTAAAGAACTACCCTTTAAAACCTGCCGATGTTGCAAGTTTCCAACTTTTTGCATTTGTAATCATACATGAGTTTGTTGTATTACAACAGGAGCATTTGAATGAGAAACTGAGAAAACCCAGGCTGTGTTCTGATGTTTTTATGACCACCACATGACTCTTCCCAAAGTTTTCCTTGTAAAAGCCTGTTGCTTTCCTGTGTTACTCTGAGGGGAAGTCGGAATTAAATCGTGAGGATAGCAGGGCTGTTTTTCAATCATGCACAGATGACTGGTCTTGCATAAGCCTTCTCTCTGAGGCAATTACTTGCGTGGAAGTGCTTTTGTGTTGGGTTAAATTGACTGTGACTCTCCAGGTCAGCTGCTGTTTCTTGCGTAACTCTGAAATCTCAGTGACCGAGACAAGATCCCTGATCTACTTCATGTTATCTTTATGTAAAAGCAAATTGACACAAAAAGGACTTGGCGTCCTTGAGCCATCATGCTCAAATGGCCATTTCCTCTCAAAAACATGCTGGAGGCAGGGCTGGGCTAGTATTGTTTTGAATCAGCAGATATTGATTCAAAATATTTAATGTAAGAACTAGAACTAAGAGTAGATTAAGATTAGATTAAATGTAGTTGTCCAATCCAGGCTGTTTTTCAATAAATGTAAACACTTTATCACTTTCATGTACCAATGTATCATACATGACATGGCAATGAACTGCAATATTTACCTACCTATGTTTTCAGAGATTTTTGCAAGTGATAACACAAAAATTGGTTGAAGTTTTGAAGCTATTCACTTAAATGGACAGTTTGAACTGATTCACAGAAATTAATCTCACTTTTTTGACTCTAATGCCTTTTTGTTACTAAAGTTTAAATCACAAACATTATTAAAATGCCTGTCTTATTACAGATCCTGTCCTACCGGTCACAAAACTAGTTGTACTGTAGTAGTACTAAACTAGTAGTAATGATGCAGTCTTTAAGAATTAATCACTAAATAAAATGTTTTTTTTTTTTTTTAAATCACCACAATGCTTATGGCATTGCTTAATTTGATATAGCCAGCAAAATCATTACCAATATGTTGTTCGTATTCAATTTATATATGCATATTTCTAATTATGCTAAGCACTAAAATATTTAATTGCTAGAAAAAACAAATTTTCAGACTGGAAAATGAATGGAAAATCAGTTAATCAAAAGGTGTGGGAAAACTGTGGGAATTATGGGTTTCATTCTGTTTAAAATTTAGTCTTTTTTTACATTAAATTCAGTATATTTTGATTTTGAGGTATTAAATATAATCACATTTATAATGAAAACACTCATGGAGAGACAAGATC